TACAATAATCACCAGACACTTTTTACATATTTCTTTTTCAATTTTTTCTGTTGTTTCTGTTGCAACTTCATATTTCTTTTTCAATTGTTCATGTAGTTTCTGTTGTGACTTTATATTTCAATTTCAATTTTTCATGTTGTTTTTGTTGTGACTTAAAAGAATCATGCGTGACAGCATACTCATTGTAAAAAGTGTGTGTGTGTGTGTGTGTGTGTGTGTGTGTGTTAAAAAGAGAGAGAGACAAAGAGAGAGGGGGAAATCCAGACTCACATGTTGAAATTATAATGTCCAGGATAATTGGTATGTAGCACAAATTTCTTCACCTTATGAGTATTAGCATCAAACAGTATATCCTGAAAATATGAAAAACACTTCTTGAATATTTAACAAGGGCATTTCTAGGACATTTTACCTTTTTGAATAACTGAATATCAAATCAGATCTTCTTTAGTTTAAAACCACACACAATGTGTGTGTGTGTGTGTGTGAGAGAGAGAGAGAGAGAGAGCAAGAGAGGGTGTTTTTAACAAATACTTCTATACTTCTAATTCAGAGAACAGGTGTTTTTAAGTGTTAACATATTTTTATACACATTTCATACATATTGGTAGCAATTATCATAACATAAAAAAACATAAGTGTGAGACATTATTTTTCTATACCACTTACCACACCTAAGGTGACATAGTTATAGAAATAATCTGAGCTACGAGATCTAACAAGTCTGTGAGCTTCTGGTGAGTGAATTCTCATCTTATCCTCTGCCTTGTAGAACATTTTACTGGGGCTTCCTAAGGCACTTGTCACATCCTGAGAAAAAAGAAGGGTTAAGTTGATTTTTTTCAGTGATATAAAACTGATATAAAAAAATCTTGATCTCAATCAACTCATGTGCATTTTTTTATTTGGTACACCTGAAACCAACTTTTTTTTTAAAATTTCTTTGTGCTGCAAAATAAAGAAAAAACAATTCAACATACTTGGCATTTTCTTCAGAAAATAACATAATTTTGCTGCTCCCCTTACAAAGTGCAGATAGGTCATCATACAACAAAGGGAAACGTCTCATATTAAAACGAAAAAACAAAATTTAACTAATCAAACTACACAAAAGCAAACCAAACAGATACAGTTTTTGTCATATGTGCTTATGTCAACAGTTAAGTCCATTGTTTGTGGAGGTTATTTACTTTAAGTTATTTATGCCCTTATATTAAAGGTGATAGGTACTACATTTTCTCTGATATTTTCTCTCCAGTTTGTTCTTACTTGCTTCAGGCGTGTATTCTGATTTTTGTATGTATGTTACTTTGATTGAAAACAATTAACAATACTAAATAAAAAAATAAATAAAATGCAAAAGAAGTAATATGAAGGCCAGAAAAATTGATGAAAACAAGAAAATTAATTAAAACAAATAATGTAGAAATTGAAATCTTACTTGATCACTTACTTAAAAAGTCATTAATAAAAACTTATTCATAAATTTTTTTAAATAAAAAAATTTAACTAATCTGATATTCATACCTCAGAGGAATCTCCAAATCTCACTCGCCTTTCAAAAGTTTTTCTTCTCATCTCTGACAACGATCCTGGCCCCGTGCCTAGCAACAGAAATACATAGTTCATAATAAAGATCATATTCCTCTCTTATTGGAATGGACACAATAAAGGGCTTAAGAACGAATAAACAGAAATTAAAACTTTCAGTCTGTGTGATCAGTCTCACTGAACCCTCCCTCCTCAAACAAACAATATTTATTTAGAAATGTCAATAAAGTAAAAAAATTCAAACAGGAATCAATTAACCATACAATATAACATAGAATTTTTACCTCCTTCCTTTCATATAAAGAGGGGGGGAAGCTCGCTCTATTTCATAGTCAAATGTGAAAATTTTTTCATCTGGACATGTAACTGATTTTTTTTTTAAATAGATAAATCAGTTTAAAGGTATCACTGGGTTTTGTCCTTGTAAAAAATGGACATTCCTGTCAGTATACTTTTGATTACTTCAGCTTAAAACAGATAGATCAAAATGTGTAAGTAGTTGTGGCACTCTAAATAAAAATCACAGATACAAGACTCGTTAACAAACTATGTAGGCTATTATTATTATTATATTACTAGCTAATATAAATTTTCATCATATTCCATGAAAGAAAAGTTTTAAGTAAAAACAGTCCTAGCCAATACCGATTTTCATTGCATTTCATGACACAAATATGTATTAGTTTGGAGTATGTAAATTCCCCTTTTCCTCTCCAGCTTTAATCATTCTATACATAGCCATTTCAAAAATATCACTTAAGATGTCTACATAATCACAATTATACAACCTATTAGAAAATGTCAAAACCCTCAACTGACCTTATTTCCAAATGGGTTTAATTTCACCAAATGTGATAGCAAGACAAATAATTTCCTGCTCTTCAATCCCCAAGGAAGCATTCATTTGTGATATTCAGTGTCATAATACCAAGGGCTAGACTTTCACTCCTAACCTGATACCCTCAGTCTAGAATTTTCTTTTTCCAAAAATAAAATACATTACATATGCAATTGTGTCTCTCGGTGCTCCCCAAAAAGACATTTATGTAATATTCAAGTTCCTATTTTTTCTCAATCACGCCTTGGGGAGGACTTCAGGAAATACACTGTTTGACCTAATGCATATACGCTGAAGATAAAGGAAAAGGGAAACTAATACCTTACATAACCTCTGAGTCAGTAAACAATATGCACAACTGCCTGTTATAAAACACTATTAATTGAAATGGCTGGATGTGTGTCCTCTCTTGACACTTCATAAGATACCTGCTTACAAATAGAAATCATGACGCGTATGTAAACCATAGATATCTAAAGGTGGATAAGGCTTCCCCCAGACGCTGTTTGACTATAAATAGATTAATAAGTAGCATTAGTTCTCAAAGATAAAAATCCTATTTCATAACCACCCAGCACTTATTCCAGCCTAACCTGTTATGCAACGAACCAGGAGGCGTCGTATAAACGATCATTTACATTACTGTGATGCTAAATGGAATATGAACTGTATCAAGAGCACATGGGTTGAAGTGTGTACAATTTTTAGGCTCATGGGGTATGGACTACTTATTGTATTGAGGCCCAAGAAGAATGGAGCATGCAGAGAACCTGTGTGTGTGTGTGTGTGTGTGTGTGTGTGTGTGTGTGTGCGTGTGCAAGCGTCAGCGGGTACATCTGTGTGTATGTGTGAATGTGTGTGTATAATAGTAAGAAGTATATAATGGCCAGTATTTATCAAATGGACAGGTGAAAGTTGAAGATGGGTGACAATATTGAAAATCCTGAATACTTGCAATTTCTCATCGCATATACAGACAGAAAAAAAAATCCAAATAAAGACTGATAATCATGATATCAGACATCATCCTGAAAACTTCCACCCATGATCAAATGCCAAAGTATTGACATAAGAGCATTCTTTACTGTCCCAAGTCCTACTGAAGTTCTAAATGAATATCGTGATTTGCAATGTGATAAAACTCAAATGCATATATTCTAGATTTAGTATTTCAAATGAAAATCAGCTTGGGCCTACTCTAACACATTTCTCAATCACTTTAATACTAATTTCTTTTTTTTTCTTCAAAAGAAACTATTTTAGCTCTTTTCTCAGTCCAGTTCTCTGTAAATCAGTTAACTTTGAAACTTTTCCTTGGAAAAAAAAATAAAAAAAATAATAAATTTTTGTTATCTCGTTACCTTCTGTGACCAAGTGAAAGCGAACTTCTTTGGTAGTGTGGTTCTCACGTAGCACCTCTAAACTTTCCAGGTAGCAATTTCCATAGAAACTCTGGATAGGGAGCAGTGGAGCTCTGGTGAGAAGGAAAAAAAATGCTTAACATATATGCATCTGATTATACCATAATACAATGTTATTGAAATGATAGAATATTTGATTTTTTTAACAAAAGAGAACACAATAGTCTAAACTGATAAATAAGTATCTTATCATAAAACACCCATAAGGGAAAACTGGACACAAGTTTTAAAAAAATCCCAAAATCATAAATCCAGAGGTTTCTGTAAGAACATCAACTAGTTGATTTTTAGCATTCTTGGTATTAAACTATTTCATATTCTTTATGCCAAAAATATTTATATTTCAACACCCGACTTAAAGTTTCAAAGTTTAATTTTCAATTCCCTACCCTGTATTGGCTAGACTATTTCCACTAAATATACACATTTTAGACACAGTTGGTGAGGCCCCATTTGGAAACTGAAGTGACCCCAGCCCGTGTGCATATCTGGGCTGAAATATAAGAGAGAGAGAGAATAAGAATTAATGCATCTGTATTGTCTTTTTTCAACACAATTTATTCTGAAACAGACATTTTAGATGTGCAGACGGACCATGAACTATAATACACTCTTATTGTAAAATATACTATCTGAAGGCTGATAGAGATAAAAGTTACATTCTAATCAGTCACTTATGTCACATGTTTCATGTGTTATGGACAGTAGTGCTGTTACATATACAGACTCCAACTTGAAACAGAAAGTGGTAGAATATTCTGACAAACCAAATGACATGATGTTAATTAACAACATAATCAACTAATTAAAATGGTGATATGAAAAATAAATATTTTTTTATCAGCGCATTTAAACAATGAAGAAAAACACTAGACCAATTTATTTATTATATTTTTTTTTTTTTTGCTTATGTCCATTTTAACATGATTCTTACCTCAAGTTTTGACTCAATCGGGAATGTAAATGAGAGCCCTCGGAAGTTTAATACAAATACCTGCCGTTCTGAGTCATAAACTAGAATGAGAAAAGCAAATTCTTGGCATCAGTTTATTAAAACACTAGTTTAGGTGTTAAAAGATAAAAGTTGTAATTTTTCTTTAATTTATAAAAAGCTAATATTGAAGTTGTGTTTACCTCCAATATTGCCAAATCTTAGCTAGATCGAAAAAATTTCAATAGCTGTTGATTAAAGAAAAATAACTACTTTATTGTTATGACATAACACAGCTGATGAAATTCTTCTCTGACCTGAGCAGATGTTATTAGATTCAAAGCAACCTGCATGTAAATTCACCTAAAACACAGTTGACTTCATAATACTGGTCTAGAAGCTTTTAAGAAAAGAGGGGCAACAATTAACATACCTTAATGCAAAGCTGCAGTCACAACAATCACAAATAACTATGTCAGAAAAGACAACGAAAAAAGAAGCAGGCTTTTTGATTCTTGTAAAAAGCAACTTAATCAGCTGGGTAAGTCTTAGTAAGTTATGATATCCTTAAAACCAACTTGGGGACTTTTATCTGGTGAAACATAACCTCCCATGCTCTATAAATGGATTAGGCGTTTGCTAACACTAACTGCAGATCCTTTAGCACTAACACCAATATTAACCACATAACCCACAAATTAACCAGCACTACCAAAGCAGATGAATAATTCGTGGGTTTTGTAGTTAATATGGGCATAAGTGCTAAAAGATCTGTGGGCAGTGCTAGTAAATCTTAACTCCTTAAAACTGAATTGGGACTTTTATTTTGTGATACAGACTCCTCTAGTCCAAGTCTGAGAGCTGGCCCCTATCTACCCTGTCTTGGGTGCTACTGTTTCCCCTACCTCCTGGATGTGTTACCCCCATCTATCCTGTCCTGGGTGCTAATGTTTTAATCCTTACCTCCTGGATGTGTGGCGCCAAAGGACTGGTCTATCTGGGCTATTGTGGGCTGGATGTGAGGAGTGTTGAAGTGGACACCACTGCAATGAAATAAACAATAACATAATAGCTGTCAACCATGTTAAAAAAATTGTGAGAAGTGATAAATCTTTTTTTTTAATTCTGCACTTATCTATTACTATAATTGTTCACATGGCAGATCAACCATGGACAAACTGATCTACGGACTTATTAAGGCCAGCGTCACTTATTAAGGCACAGCGTCAAACAAGCTGCCTTATCCCCTGATGGTCTCCCGACCTCCACACGGGCCATTATACAGATTAAATCTCAGCTCTGAGGTTAAATTGCAAGGCAACGGCAGGGACGACAGGTGTGGATGTTGGGAGGCCATCAGGGGATAAGTCACAGGGTTCTCCCCAGGCCTTTATAGCATATCGGCAGCGATACGCATTTCTTTTTGCCGATACGCTTCTTTTTTTGCCGACACGTTTCTTTAAGGTAAAAATTCAGTTCGGTGAAGTTGCAGGGTTGGCTGTCATGATTTATGAGAAATTTGGAGCAAAAGTCTTTTAAAAAATCATTTTTGATGCATACTAACGTCTTTTTCTCTTCCTAGACGGTACTGAAAAGAGTGACCTACTTTTGGCACAAAACACATGCAGTTGCAAAATGAATTGTGAACAAACTTACCGCCAAATTATGAAAGTGAACACCCTCCAGAACTTCACAAGACAAAATTTATTCACATAACAGGCTCACTACTGAATATTTATTTGGTTAAAAATCTTTGTGCTCTAGAGATAAAGACCGTTCCAAAAACAGAAACTACACAAGTACTGTGCAGGGTACAACAGCCAGATTGATCTGGATGAACTAGATATATCTAGTTCGTTGTCAAGGCAACATACTGCCTGTCAATCAAATACGTTGCATGCTATCTACTTACTATGGAACGTGAAATCTTTGGGACTGAAGAGCTTGTTGAAATATTGTTTATTTGCCAAAATAAAACATGAAATTTTGTATGATGTTTTCTATAATGACTTTAGCATCACCTATATTATTTACAGTTAAAAATTTAGTGCTGNTTTTTTCAGAAAAAAAAAAAAAATTTTCCCCCCGGGGGGCCCCCCCCGGCCCCCCCCCCCCCCCCCCCCCTTTGTACCTTGCTTCGCAAGCCTCGGCACTCTCGCGAAAAAAAAAAAAGGGCTATTTTCAATTTCTGGGGAGAACCCTGAGTCAACATTACTTTTAAGTGGGTTGGCCATATTTGATCTGCAGATCTGTTAGTCTGCAGATCAACTTGTTTGAATACGCTCTTCTAGTGATACCAATGGGCTGTTTGGCCCAAAAAGAAATTCAGCACCCGTGAAAATGAATAATTGTTTATCTGTGAACACAAATGTTCTCAATGCGTTTCTGTTTATAATTAATTTTTGGCATAAACTCAACTGGATGTCTTAAAATCTTCACAATACTTATTGGCTTTAGTGTGTTTTAACACTTTTTTTTTTGGAGTAAAATACTGAAAAAAAATTTTTAAGATTCCATGAATTTTCTTTTAACCTTCGTCTTAACAAGAATAGTAACAAGAACGTCTTCATAGTAAAACACTAATACAATGGCATTCAAAGATAGCACAAGTACTTACCAGTACTTAAGTTTGACCTTGTTAAGGTTATACACTTCTATTATCTGTAAATGGAACAAAATCACATAAGATAATCTTATAACCGCCTAACTTGATAGCGAAAAGAAAACATATTGACTGAATAGTTATGAAGAGCCGCTGTTGTACTTGACAGCAAAAGCCTGCAATCAAACCATAGATTATTCCTACAAAATGACAAAGGCAGCAAAGCTGTCAAATATACAGACATAAAGCAGGTCATAATGATAAAGACACATAACATATCACACAGACATCGCCAATTTTTAACAAATTTCTACCATTAATGAGGAAAAATGTTAATTTAAAGGAGTTTGAAGTCACGCCTAGAAATTTTGTAATGAGGGGAAAAAAGGAAAAAATTCACCAAAAGAAAAAAAAAATGTTCTGTATTTAGTTTCATGTATCACTCCAAGAGGTTTGAGGATAACAAGCTATTTATTGAAATAACAGTAGAAAGTGCACAGAAACGAAGACATGAACAGATGCAGGTTATGACTATATGTACAGACACGCTGAATAAAGGAAAATTTCTTACGTGCCTTTGTACTTTCACAGGTATACTTTCCGAGTCTTCAAATATCCCAACATCATATTTCGATGGAAAATTCCATCATATGAGAAAATATCAGACAGGATAAATTTACCAGTAAACAGCAGAATTTTCATCACTGTCACAGAATCAATGGGACCCCCCCCCCCCCCCCACACACACACACACACGTATCACCCAAGCACAGTTAAAAACTGATTTAAGACTTGTGCCATTGATCTTCCACCCACCTACTCATCATGCAACCCTTTATTTCAATAAATTTCATATTTCAATAAATCTGTTTCCTCCTAGAACTCACTTAAGGACGGAAAATAAAGTTGGACCATTTGAGACATATTAAAATAATGAACCATATCAAATTTAGCTAAAAACACCAAAAATTTCAAAATAATTTTTAGTAAAATATTAATAGATATTGCATTTGGTTACAATCTTCTATGCAAGGGTAATGACCAAGATCATTGGCTAATGTTATCAATATCAATATAGCCCAGTTATCAATATTACTAATTCAATCCAGTAATTCTGATCTAATTTTAGCCTAACTGAAATCCTACTAAGAGTACACTGACTATGTATGGCAGTGTCTTAGACCCATCCCACAAAGAGGATTTTGTTATAAGTATTCATGTATCTGATGTGAACCAAAGACATATATTCGCTTATTGGAGATTAAACCTTCAATTTCCGAACCATTTTAATGAGGAGCCGTGCTACTTTATGCATTTGAACTTTGACATGCTGGTTTGGCTTCCAGATTAAGCTTACTAGATCAATTAAAAATTCCTAGAAATTTAAGATTAAATCTTAGGTAACTATAGCGAAAAATAAAAAAAAAATTCCCCCAATCCTCATCTGGATAATATTAAGTCTGAAATCCCAGGCATGAATATGTGGTTTTGTGACATTTACTTGTGGCATCACTTTACATCTCTCTTAATTCTGGATCATACACTGAACCCCCCCCCCCTCCCCCCACGCCACCCAACACACACAAACACACACATATATATACGCGTGTGCGTATGCGTGGATCACTAGAATTCAGGAGTCTGAGACACATGGACAAGCTCCTGATTCTCATCGATGAAATTAAAATGATGAGCAGCATGATGTGCCAAGAGCAACATTCTTTTTAAAATTCTGATCTAAAATTTACTTAAATCAAATACTGGTTGTTTTTGGGTTTTTTTTTTGCAGCAAACTAGACTAGTAACAAAAAACTTAAGTGCAACTTTTAGTGGAAAGACTACTTTAATGAAATTGATTTCTTTTGATTCATGTTATAAGCATAGCAATAACTTGAAAAAAATAAACATCTTATTGATTCTGTCTGGCACATAAGTACCATAATAATTATGTGATATTCCATGTCTCCCATGTACAAGGCATGTCTGGGTTAGAAACAAGCCACGAAACAGAAATCAACCCCTTTTTTACTGTGTGTGTATCCGTTTTATAATCACAAAACTTTATAAAGTAATTACCTCGGAAGAAAATTGATTAATACACATGCGAAAATAGATAAAGGGAAATACTGGAAATAGGATAAAGAGCAATGAATTCACTAGTTACGTAAATATATATGCAGGTAATGAGTTTTCACTGCAGAAAAAACAAAAGTTAACTAAACTAGTCACGATTTTGATTCAAGTCGCAGGTTGCGTTTCTGTGTAAATGCAATTTTTAATTCATCTGTGTGCTTTCAATTTTTTTATACATAGGTGAATGTGAAGAGCAGTTATAACATATGAATTACCATTTATTAGCAGCAGTAAATGGAACTGGCTGGCAGAGGACAGATGCACTACACATGTACTAAAAGACTGTTTTACTTCCGAATCACTAACATTAAGGGACCATTCCCACAGATGTTTGGATTGATCTATCTCCCTGGGGAGTCTCACTACATTTCTAACAACTTAATCAGCTTAAATGTCTGTCACGCCTAGTAAAGCTGTTAGGGGGTAATTATCTTTACCCCCTAGCTGATTCGTTAGGCGTGACAGACTTTTAAGCCAGTTAGTTGATAGCAATTTAGCGAGACTTCCCAGGCAGTTAGACCAATCCAGATAGATCGATCGAGGCATGGAAACCCAGTTTAAGGGATCATTCCCTGACCCTATTGTGCTAACTGTGGATTGTTCCATCTCCAAGGGGATTCTCACAAAAATGCAATCAACTTTAGCGGCTTAGATTTCTGTCATGCCTACTGAAGCTGCTAGGGGGTAATTTATTATCGTTAAGCAGCTTCAGTAAGCGCGCCAGATATCTAAGCTGCTTAAGCTGAAAGCAATATAGCAAGAAACCCCTTGGAGATGGATCGATCTTATTAGATCTTATTAGATCGATCCAGGTATGGGAACCCAGTCTAAGAGGGCATTCACAACAGATGATCCTCGGACCTACTGATGTGTAGATCAAATATGGTGGTCCCTACATGAAACTCATCCACTGCTGGTCTCCACAGCTCCTAGGTTTAATGGCTAGAACCCTGCACAGGGATGGCACATGTGGAGGTTGGGCTTAATCCGCGGATCAGTAGATCCAAGGATCATCTGCTGTGAATGCCCTCTAACACTGAAGCTTCTGATATGTTCAAATTATGCCTATATATATATATATATATATATATATATATATATACATGCTTGCCCAGTAAGCAGTGGAATTTTTGGTCTGAAGAGCAAAAAAGTTTTAAACAATAAAATATCACAATAGACTTCTGTTTATCAAAATGGCATTTCATTTAAATCACTTTTCGTCCCCTATTTATCTCTTACTCCTGAACAATTTTCTCCTCAGACATCAAATTTCACAAAACACATGTCTGTAGACTGACGAATATTAACAGAACTTAGCCTGTCTGTGTCTTCCTCTTAGTATCGGAAGAAACCCTTACAAGGTATGTAAGACCTCTTGACTGAAGCCTTGTAAAAGAGAGATAACTGCTGCAAAATTTAAATGTGCTCGATACGAAATTCTGATCCCCCAACAACAGAACATGAACAGCACAGGCTTCAGATTTCCCTGCTACTAAAATAGGCCACAAAGATAGCTTTGGTGTGCTAGAGACCTAAAATTTCTGCTAAAGTATTATTTTAAAGCAGGGCTTTTCCCAGGATTGGGGGTACAGACCGTCCAAAATTACCACCTGCAATTTCCTACCAAATTTCAGGGAGTCCAAGTATGCACAAAGCCTTCACATTTTCAAGAAATTCATAAGTCTTTGAAAATTCAGCAGTCTTTGAAAATATAGGCTGTCCAGTGGTGCTGGAGGCTCTCTAAATGACAGCTGGGCAGTCCACTGAGAAAACTCTTGTTTTACAGTTTTCTTAGGGGCCATTCAGAATGGATGATCCAAGTACTAACTGATCTGCCGACTAAATATGCTTCAAAAGCTTTTGAAGCATTTAAAGGATTTTTAGTCATATCTAACCAATTTACCTTGGGTAAATGTTTTTTCCTCCGCGTAACCTATATACCTTATGATCCTCCTTTTCTGAGACTTGCCTTAACTCTGTAACCATCCGAGAAAATAAAAAGCCCTTAACCGACCTGCCATCATTTTCAAACTTCTCAATCCCAGCATGCTCAATTCTCACCCTGACTTCCAGATTCTGAGCTGGATGACAGGTGATGAGGTTCATCAGAAGGGGGATGAATTTGATTATTTTTGCTACATTGATTCCTGGTATGTATCAGTTACAATATGATCAACAGTATTACTTATCCAAAGATATGTTTAACAAGAAGTGGTGATTGCTGTTTAAAATCCTACACGTTGAGAATAAGTAAAGAGACCAATTATTCATAAGTAAGAGAAAATTGCTTTCTTTTCGAAGGAAATTTCATTTTGGCAGGGAAATCCAAGATAAGATTCCTTTAATTACATAAATACATGTACCAACAATAATCTCGGTATATTCAGTATACTATAGGCTTTCAACTTCAGACAGTAAGCATGCTTACATCTGTTACATAAACAGTTCAATATCAAGAAAGGTATTCTCAGTGCTTTTTCCTGCATGGTGCATGTGTTCATTCATTTCATTACAAAATTATTTCCAGGCCATAAAAATAGAAAAAAAGGAGTTTTGCCAAGAAAAAAGGAAAAAGATAGAAATATATTTTAATATAGGGATAAATAAGAGCTTGGCGCTTTGACAGAGGGGCAAACATATATTCAGCTCAAGGTAGATCGATATGTTAAAATGACCTAAATTGGTCAAAATAGCTTTTACCCCCCCCCCATTTCTTTTATGGGAAACACTTATCTAGATATTAGTGCCATAAAAATAAACACTTTTAGAGCAAAGGTGTCATTTTTTGTTGTTGTTTATTCACCTCCTTTATCACCAATTTAACCTCTTTTGGTATGAGTTGTCAGTGCGGAACTACTGTTGCACTTGACAAGCTCTTCAAATTGCAACAAACATTAGGTCTCTAGCTTTAAGGGCTCCAGATTTAGAGGGTTTTCAGTTTTGGTATCTAATGGCTGCCATTCCTGTGAAAATGCACTAACTGACCTCGAACCCAGGATGGTAAAGAACATCCAAGTTTAACTTCTCACTATAATATCTATGCCAATCGGCATAAACACATTTTTTTTCCACAGAAAATTAAAATGTTAACAAAAATTTGGCCAATTTGCCCTTAAAATATGGATCAAAGGTCAAATCCAAGGTCATATTCTAAATCTCCACATGACTTTCAGTTAGACTTCTAAAGTACTTTTCCACAATTCCTTTGGTATGGGAGATATTAGCTTTTAATATTCAAAATATGCTGATAAAAATGGAAAAAAATAAATAAATAAAAACAGCGAAACTTATTGAAAAATGGTCCAATCAAGCTGATTTTTAAACTCAGCCTGTTTTTTTATAAATATTCTTCAGTTACGTAAGTTTGAAGACCAAAGTCAAATGGTTTTCCAATGACGTGTTTTCTCTGAAAGTGCACTGGACAAGAGCCACAACAGGCGCAGGTGATGGCTATATGTACAGACACTTGGTGTCTGTACATAAAAACCACTTGTGTTATAATTTAGTCAACCCAAAGCAGATACCCTGTATGCAATAATTAATACCTTGTCACTGCACCTGAAATTTAATCATTATCACCAAGGACATCTCTACAAAATTACAATGATTACACTATGCTTTACCTTTAATCTCTGTGTATAGGAATCATAGATCAACTTCACTCCATCTTGAGATAGGTTCAACACTAGGTCCATATCCAGAGGAACCTAGATATAACAAGAGATAAAAAGCATTCTACAATGACATTTTTTCAAAATAGGAGTCAAAATTCTGATTTTTTTCCAGAGGAGCATGATAAATCATACACCCACACAAAGAAAAACACTTATCGTCATGTGTACTTCTTTTAAGTACTGATGATATTAACTAGAAAAGCACCCAGACAGCACAACCTCCACAAGACATATAATTACCTAATAATTAATTATTATTTGGTTAATGAATAATTTTATCACCACAAAAATCTGATTTTTTTCCTTTGCCCATTTGTGACCTATCCTGGAAAGTTTCATCAAAATCTGTTAATCATTTTAGACTTAGTTAACTAATAATTGATGTTATCACCAAAATCTAAGTATTTCTTCCTTAGCCCATTTGTGACCCATCCTGCAAAATTCTGTCAAAAAGTTGTTTCTCACTTTCTGACTTCATTATAACAAATAATAAATAAAAAATTGATTAACAAATGGATCACCAAAATGTAATCAGTTCTTTCTTGGTCCATCTGTGACCTATCCTGAAAATTTCATCAATATCCATTCCTTACTTTCGTATAAAAACTACAAACAAACAAACGATAACGATCACCTCCTTTGGGGGAAGTAATAAAAAAAGCAGTAGGGTCACTCTCTCTGTCAGCATATTCCGAAAGTATATAAACAATTACTGATACTTCTTATCATACTGGTAACTTGCTTATTAACACCTAATTGAAAACATGAATAACATGTTGAAACTTTGAGAGTAGCTGCAACATGTTATTCATGGTACAACAACAATGCTGCAACGGTTCTTAAAATAAACATTGTTGACTAATTCTTGCTATCTTACCAAAGCTGATGACATTTTACAAAAACAAAAATCAAACTGAATCTCAGGGTCATTGTATTTGTTTACAGCTAATAATATCCATTTCCAGCTCCTAGATCACTGTTTTTCCTTACTGGTGAAAAATCTAGAAAATGAAACCGAGCTGCAATTATATGCATGTAATTTGTTCAGCGTGGGTGTATTAATGTTTGTCATTCCTAATGACTGCCATAGCATCCAAAATGACATTTTTAAGAATTTTGGTCAAATGTATAATATAGATATGCAGAGGAAGAAACTGAAAACATATGCAATGCACTATTTCTTTCTTTTTTGGGGGGCAAAAAAGAAAAAAAATTCCAATTCTCGAAAAAACCCATTTTAATTTTATTATTCCTTTTTATTCTTAGAAAAATTAAATTTCCACTATTTCTTTTATTACTTAGAAAATATCCTTCCAAAAAACCTTCAAAATTTATGAAAAAAATAACGTCACTAACAGTTTGCCTGCGTCAGTTAATAATAGAAGCATTTCTAAGAACTTTACGTGATAAATACTAGCTATTACGGTAAATAATCTCTACATATGAACATATTTCTTCTCAAAACAGTAATCAGTTATGACATTTAGATATTGAATAGATATTTAAAAATTGGGGGAAGTAATTTGGGTCCATGACAAAAAAACAATTAATTTCTTTGCACAAGTGATAAATGATAAATGATAATTCTTGAAAAAGAAACTACTGAAATGAATGAGGAATTTGAAATTTGTGGTTTATTACCATAGTTTCATGTGCTAAAGCCTCCACAACTAAACATAGAACAGTCAGGTAAAAGACACACTATAAATGGCCTCATACAGATTACTTCCTGACATGCTACAAACACAGTGCCCTTGGCGAGAATGCCAAAAAGCTTGCCAGTGCATGCAATCACTGAAAAACAATACAACGTAAAGCACAGCCTGTCGTCATGCAACGTAACAATGACATAAAATTTGACACCAAGAGTTCCTGCCATGATCTGATATGTTGCAGAGGGGAGGAAAAAAAACAGATAAATTTCCTGGATTTTGCCAGCGCATGTGAACACCTGTGTGGGCGCTTGCATGCGACTTTTCCTAGAGCCAATGGGTCGATCAATTTCTCCTGAATTTCATTAAGATACCTGGTACACACAATGTGGAAGTAAACATATCTGACCACAAATGGAAAAAATAGCACTGATGACATGGGAAGAAGATGCAAATATAACCACAGATTCACGTTTTGTAGGTCATACATTTCCTCCACCATGGAATACAAAACAACAAGTAATTAATGAAAACCATGCACATTTCTCAAACAATCTTTCAGTGTGCCTGTAAAGATCCAAATCTGATGTCTTCTTTTCCGTTTCTTTGCACAAGTCAATTAAATTTTAACTTTCTTTATCTGCAGATCTTAAGGGCAATATGTAATGCTTTAATACTCATCTTTTAATCATTACTAATTATTTAACATTGGGATCTCTAATATATCATTTTAGGATGATGGTCTCTTTGGCAGCACTAATTCACAAAAAAAATTATTCAGAAAAATTCATGTACATAGTGCTGGCAAATTTGTCAATTAATATCCAGAGAACTCCATTTATTTTCTCTCTTAAATGTAGCTTTTACATCAAATGTGACCAACTTTTTTGAAGTGCATTTAATACTGTCACAGCTTTTGACATGGTCTTTTTTCTTTTGTCCATCCAGGTTCATTCTTTTCCAACACCAATGCAGTTTGATTGCTTTCTATAATCAGAAAATCTTCATGACTGACCTTTGCTGAATCTCAGTCAGGGTTTAATTTTGATCATCTAAACATGCTGTCATTGATGACTGGATCAAAAATGAGATAACTTACATTTGTTTGCTATCATCCTCAAAATCAGTCACTTGTACAAATAAAAGTGGAGATCTCTTGCAAAGAGTCACAGTGAATCAAAATCAACAAAGCCAATATACTGTGTCTTAATCGATTGATTTCCAGCTCATCCTACACTGGAAGCAGTGAGTGAATCCTACTGTGTGCTGTACATCCTGATGCCTTTTTTTTTTCAGATGTGCCTATGTTTTCTACTGACAGATTTTTTTTTTACCTCAGGTGACTTCACTGATAAATGTTATCTTTTTCAGGTCACAAGATTGGTGGTACTTTGCATGTTTTTGCCATTTTTCATTGTAACCAAATTATCTTTCACCATGTCATTTTATGTACTGTATTTAAATTTTTTGACAAAGCTTCAATGTTGTATCTCAAATATGATATTGCTAATACATTTGTATTCATTGAAGTATTTACCAAATCACCCAAACAAAAGAATGATCATTAAAAACCTTTGAACAATTTTATATTTCAAAAGGCCTGACAGACAATTTAGCAGGAATGCGGCATTTAAGCATCCAATCATATGCACCGCTCTCCATGTCAATTCACAAAATATTTTACTATTCAAAATCACTATCACTTTAATTTTTACAAGGGTAGGGGGGAGGGTTGTTACCCAGTACCAAAATTTTACTCTAGTCACTTATCAAATCCTTTACCCTCTTATCTCTGTTATGTTATAAGCAACAGGAATCAAAAACTGCAAACATGCTGGAAACACCCTATATTTACCTTCAAATAAGTGTCAACAATGGAACGAGGACAAGAAATGCAATTTAGACTAGTTAGGAAATTTAGTAAATTAACCTGTAGGGCAAAGGTCCTACCGTACAAAAACGTCATAGAATAGATCCCTTGCCTTCCCCATCTTTCATTGAAAGGAAAGTCAAGCACCTAATATGATAATGGGGACTATCCAAGTTGGCCTAAAATTATACTTTTGGCACTATATGATATCCTATGTACTAGATATATGGCACTAGCTATAGTCATATTTTGCCTTATGACGCATAAGAACTTCTTTCACAGCTTTTATCAGCTACAGGTTTTCCGCTTTGCAAAGTCATGTCTAGTTAAAACCCACAATGCAACACAAATCTATTGTTTTGGTATTCAAGCAGCTACCAAAGCACGAAAATATCAAGAGGGTCATGGTAAGGAGGCACGCCTCCAGGATGGCTCTGGAAAAGAACTTCTGTGAACAAAAAATTGATTTATGGCATTTCTCAAGTTGGGTCAGCTAGAGCGGGGGGAGGGGGTGGGGGGAGAGGGGGCTTAGTTGTCCACTTAAATGTAAACTGAGGATGTACCCTTGTAAAAGCAATGTCCAGGTATAGCTTACCCTGCAGCAGTAGTTCAACAAAGGAAAAACTCGTATTTCATCAATACTGGTGATTTTAGTCAACTAAGCCGATCTGAACTTGTTGGAAATATCACCTTCTATCTCTCAAAAATAACACAGGTTTAATAATTACACAATAGCAAAAAAGACAAGGAGATAGGAAAGGAAAGGAAAGGAAAGAAGAAAGGATACCTGGTCGCTGTACCATACTTGAACTCCCTTGATATTGCGATCGTGTCTCTTTAGTATGTTCACTGTCTGGTAAAATGGTTGTCCTGAAAATAAAAATCTTATTTCATACAGAAATATCTTAGATTTAACAAATGGCTATGTCTTATCTAATCCCAACCCTTCCCTCACTCCCCCCCCCTTTTTTTTTGGGCAGGGAGGGATAAGTTCTGACAGCAATGAAGTTTCACAAACATTACTGTTTTATTTTCAATAACATTACATTGACTATATTTGACTTATCAAATTGGTATAAATTTGTACACACATACACACACACACACAAAAAAAAAAAATCTAAACCAAGTCTGCCCACGCTCGGCTGTCACCTTGATTGGATAGTAAACGATTGTCGTAAAATCGCTAAATGATATTAAAACCGGGTGCATAAACTTGAAAACCACCTACAACAACCTTGGACTGCCACATTAATCCAATACAATGCAAAAATAAACTATAACAAGTGGTTAAAGCCTTCAAACCGAATGTCGTAAAGTCCCCATATACCTCCATAGAGACAATAAAATAGAAGAAGCTTGTGAAACAAGAAAAATCCAGTTCCAACATAATAATCGAAATAAAATACTGCCGGGCATCGGAGCGGCCTAAAACTTGGCACGCTTACCGCTAATACTGCAGGCTACATCATCCCGTCGCTCGTTTGTAAATTCCGTGCATGGCATACGCACAATCAAACCGTAAAAAACAAATTCTCGGGGTGTCGTTGGCCAGGTCCACTCTAACCTACCATTACGAAAAAGAAGCCATGCCATTGGACAATGCGACCTCTGCGGTTACGTCATTTCCTGAATTGGATTGTTGAGTGGACCTGGCCAACGACACCCCGAGAATTTGTTTTTTACGGTTTGATTGTGCGTATGCCATGCACGGAATTTACAAACGAGCGACGGGATGATGTAGCCTGCAGTATTAGCGGTAAGCGTGCCAAGTTTTAGGCCGCTCCGATGCCCGGCAGTATTTTATTTCGATTATTCTGTTGGAACTGGATCAGGTTTGTTTCAGAAGCTCATTCTATTTTATTGTCTCTATGGAGGTATATGGGGACTTTACGACATTCGGTTTGAAGGCTTTAACCACTTGTTATAGTTTATGTTTGCATTGTATTGGATTAATGTGGTAGTCCAAGGTTGTTGTAGGTGGTTTTCAAGTTTATGCACCCGGTTTTAATATCATTTAGCGATTTTACGACAATCGTTTACTATCCAATCAAGGTGACAGCCGAGCGTGAGTCTGCCCTCTTTGATGAGTATATCACACAGATTCAGTTTTTTTTTTAGGGCCCTGGGTCTTAACTAAGCCCCTTTAAATTGTGTCGCATCTATCACACTGAGTCTTGAGTGCAAGGCAGATCATCATATTTGGGAGTGACTAATATAATGATTTACCAAATCTATTATCACTGAATGCATTAAATGATATTAAAGGGACTGTTCACATAAAATAGTGTTACTCAGCAATTCCATCATGCAACGTTCAAATAAGTGTTCAATACTGCCTTAGTGATTGGCCATGAATTAGTAACTAGTGACCCAGCCACCAGCTGATTGGCGACCTTGGACTTGACCCATTTTGTTTAACAACTTCATCCGTACCCTTTACGAAAAAAAATTTTGTCAAAATATGCTGAGATAGAACTAATTTTCAGAATCATGCTTAATCGAAAACACTGTACTTTAAACTTCATAGAAAACCACTGTAAAAATTCATGAACGACTGAAGACAATTTCAAGTGAATATTTGCAAACATGACGTTTCGTCATTCGCAAGAAACTGCGTTGGACCTGAAGTTGATACTCACCCAAAATAAACTCCCATTGCTCATTCCCTAGAGATCTTTCTGGCACAACATCGAGGTCCAGCATGACCACTGTCTCTCTGACACTGTCTTAGGCATGCGTTTGACACAAAAATGGATGCTTTAATCAAAAATTACAACGCATGTTTTCATTGTTCCGAGGTTTGTTTTGATCAGCGCCATTTCATATTCAACGCATGCGCAAAAAATTGTATTTCCGGATCAACACCCATACTTCCGGTTCGGGCATAACCTTTGTTACCGTCGGATAACAGGGTAATTTTGTGTACTTATTGACCTTTAGAAGCATCCTGTGTCCCGTAATATTGTCATCAACACTAACGTGCTATAACAGCAATTTCAATGTATAGTTTTAAGGACATTTATGTCGTTTTAGTAAGTGATGATGGCACTTGCAGTGCCTACCAGCAACACTCAACAGAGCAGTCAGCGCACTCTGAGCTTCACGAACCTCAGGGTACAGCTAGGCGATGTATCGTTGGTTTACCACTCCCCTGCACCCACCCTTCCTTTGTATCATAGAAATTCTGTTACAGTAAACTCTCGAATCCACGGTGGTTGATCGATATCTTTTCCGTAAGCCTTCTGACGTTTTCGAAGACCGTTTACTCGTTGACTGGCCTTGGATTGGTTTATCGGCGTTTTGTGACCTTGAATTTTGTAAAAATTGATGTCATTTTTATCGATTTTTTCAGTTTATCTGCGAAATTGTTTAAGATTTCCAGAAAATGTATCTTGGAGTCATTATCCAGCGAATATCAAACCAGCATGTTGGGTGGGGCGTGGGGAAGCCAGGCGTAGTGAGTTGGGGTAAACATCTCTGAAAGAAAAACGCGATTTTTTTTTCATTCCTTCTTTTGTCGGTGCTTTCCCACAAGCAAGTTAACGTGTCTTTAGCAAAACGTGTTCTTAGATATGTTAATTCTTTTTCTGTTTGCTATTTTTCTATTGCATTTTACCGGCCACATTTCTCTGCTCTTGATAATTCCCTAACAATTAACAGTTTTATTTCATGTAATGCTGTTATTCGAAAAATTCCACCCTAATCGTTCTAATTTTGACATCTTTTTGTTAAGAGCCAAGCATATTTTATGGAAACAACTGGCGATGAATTGTACCTACAACATACATATTTGGAGAATGTATTCTGAACCATGCAGTTTTTCGGCCCCTGTAAACCCCCCCCCCCTCCCGCCACCAACAATATATATAACCTCTTAGCTGGGATTGTGAAGTGTATGAGGTATTCTTTGATGACCTGAGTCGGTTCGGTCACTAATTTAGGTAAATACAATGTCCTGATCGCTTTGACGCCTAATTAAAGAAATACCTGTACACTGTAATCGGTTGCCTTAACGTCTGAATCAGCCGAAAAAGCTTGCTGAACACGAGCAGTGGCATGTGCATTTTAGAGATCGCTGCCTGCAGGAGTGCGTGGCGGTAATGACTGTGCTCATGTTCTGATAGTGGGCCCACGAAATACGCATGGGTGTTAGACCCATCTTCAGTTAAGTGGTTACAGCACCACACGGGCATGAAATTGTTAATTAAGCACGAAAAATGGGAGTGATCATGATTTACACGTTAAACGAGCTGGGTCGGCGTTGTCGCCTATGCGTTCCGGCAAACCCTAATATCAACCACTTTTTCGGCTTGCTTAGACGTCGACACGATTAAATGCAGTACGTTTTGATTTCATTTACATGTATGTATATATATGATCTAGTTATAGTCTTCTTTCAAAACTTGCCCTTGTCCCTTGGTCTAGGTGTCAGACCTTTCCTGAACCAATATCCTCACCATATCCATATATCATAGGTCAAGGGATTCAAGTGTGTTGGACGTGTTTTCACATCCGGAGAGGGCTGTGCGACGCATCGCAATACCAAACTTAAATTTCATGGCCGTTCAAAATGTTTCGTTTTAGTCCCATATATAATTGACGGTGATTTTCTTTACAATATGAAATATAAATTGAATCAGGGCCTGGTTCATACCGGTTGCGAGACATGCAGGAACTTTCTGCTTTGTTAAGCGCCGCATATTTGATAAAGATCATCCAAAGCCAGATAAACCACTTCAGTCCTGTGACATTTTACTTGTCAGTTAATCGACTAACCGGGAAACGCAGAGACCCCAGAACGGAGTAACTGGTGCTAAGTACATCGGAGGAGTTATTACTAACTCTTAGTACATGTAGGTGTCGGTGGGTTGCCGTTTACTATAGAAAAAGGCGTGAAAAGTATATTTAATTAATTGGTATCTGTTGGGACTAGAGGTAATGATATCCCTCAAACGAATTTCCTGAAGATACCAGGAAATATGAAATAAACACCAAAAAACAGGCTGCACATTGTGTGGATAGCGGATGATGGAAACCAAAATTGGCGAATAAAAAAGTATTAGCGGTAAATAGAAATACCAAGTTAAATACATGTCCAACAATTTTTAAGATGCCTGAAATGACAAGTTTGCATTTCGCACTCACTATTTTGTACCATCCTGACAAAACTATACAAAAGTGAACTTACTTGACGCTGCAACATTTAGAGGCCATTAGAGATAGTTAGTAGTCAATTGACCTAATTTTATATGTAAAAATGTAGTGAAGAGGACACAAACAAGTGGGTTTTGTAGAGGTGTCAAGAGTATATATGATTATAGTTTATTTTGAAAACATGATAGTAAACAGAAACGCACTCGAGATGCCTAAAAGTATGAAAACATTTAGTGTAATATACTAACATCGGTGCAACTCAATAATATTTATAACGTCATTTCATGTAAACAATTATAAATCATTTTACGTTTTGATAGTATGAGGTCACCTTCATGTGTTAACGTAAAGTTACAGAAGACGTTTTCTGCGAACAAAAAATAGCGTATTCCGATTGACTGGCAGTCGATCGTCACTTCCCACGGCTTTGTTACAATCTTATGAATTATGTAGTTGACCTTTCCATATAAGGGAGAAGTCAGTGACGTCGTTCTTCCGATTACGCCTTCATCGCCTTATTTGGAAATCTCCGTGAATCAATTTTCCGAACATTCCCGAGGCTGAAATGAGGCAACCAATCAGAGACGACTAGTTGGTTGCGGTTTTGTGAATGAATGAATCGCAGAGTAGAATGCAGCATGCTTCCATTCCTGACGAACGTGTTTTGTTGTGAGGGCGCCCCGCTCACCAGGTTCACCATGCCTAGAGTGGTACCCGATCAGAGAGAGAAGTTTGATAACGACGAGTTATTTAGGAAACTCAGTAGAGAGTCTGAAGTAAGTTTTAAACGGCGAATTTCCGGGTTTACCAGCCTAACAAGTCGTGGCATGCATTGCATATTACTCACGTGGGCCCATATCTAGAACGGGACCCATCCCCGCCAGCACCGATGCAAGCTGCAAGGATTTATCGCTTACAACCTGTTTAATTTCAGATTCGGTACACAGGATACAGAGACAGACCCTTGGAGGAAAGGCAGTTGAGATTTCAAACCGAAGTACGAGAGGGCCACGCCGACATTGTAAGTTATTATACGTCGTGTTTTCTAAAATTAGATACACGTCACAGCCAAGTCAGGGCATTACTAAATACTGCAAACTCTTGCCAGAACCGCACTGTGATCTAAGCACACTCGCTGACACTATTGATTTACATGAGTTGAACACAGGCCAACGTGCAAACAAGCTCAGCTGTGCACCCATAAATTCCTTTACTTGATTACTAATGGGTAATTCCGAACAAAAGGAGAGGGTGTTAAAGTCGTCTAGTGCGCGCATCAGTGAACGCCGCCACACCTTAACAAACTGGTGCGCTATGCGCTGGGTGACACGGAGTGATATGCCTAATAACTTCATGCCTATTATCCCCCACCCCATTTTGACACGCGACGAGAAAAACAGTCATCTTTACAAATCTTAAACAGTCACTTTGTCAGCGCATGTCAAATAAGAGTCAAAGAGGACGTGTTTATATCTGACAGACCTTTGAATAATAATCGGGTAAAAAGGTTTTTGGAATTTAAAATAATGCTAAGGAATTTGTAGAACATCCAGGTATGCCAACAATTTTGGGACCATGTTGTATCTAGGAGTCATGCCAGGTAGGGCAAAGTCATTAGTGCTTGGTAGGACAGCATAGGATATGTCCCCTCTTTGCGCACGGGAGCCCTTTCCATGTTCTGTGTCTTATCTCAGGCAGGAGATCTAACTGATACCCTTCTGTTTAGTGGCGTCTACACCATTTGTTTAAGGGAAGTGCTCATTAGGTGCAATATGGTGATTCATCAGTGAACCCTCACTCATAGGCAGAGCTATGAATATGACCTTTCTTTATACCCCATCACTCACTTTTTGGCTACCTGCCTACTGTCTGTGTGTTGTAAATACATATGGTCCTAGTTATCATGACAATAATATGTCGGTCTTATTTATCAAGGTCAGGTGGTTTGTTTATGATTTTTTTTTCTAGTTGTCAAAAGCTTCTTAAATTACTATGAAGGTTGTCAGTAAAAATTAGGTAGGGCCGTTGTGCATTGCTGTTATTATTATTATTATTAGTATTCAAAAACAACGACTGTCCATACATGCTAGATAGCAATGTTTCTCTTTGTCGTACAATATAATATGGCGACAACTTGCATTGACTGGTGGAAAAGTGTATCCAGTGCATACACTGGTTGCTCCTTTAAAAACAAAAGAGGTGAAAAAAAAAACAGTAGCAGACTTGAGCAAATCCTTGCTTTTCTACTGTAAGCTATTACACACCCAAAATGGTTCCTTAGTCCTGCCATGAAAGGCCCATCCCATGTATTGTTAAAATCTAACAATGATTATTTGATTCTTTCAATCACACTTGTTGACAAGGTGTAAAGCAAGCAAACAAGTGACCTGGGACCTTCAAAATAGAACAATAAAGCGAGGGTGCTGTCCAGAAAAACAGGGCCGTGAAAAGTTTCTTTGTTCTGGAGTTGTGCTCTGAATGTCACCGAAGTTCAAAAGTTGCCATACGTATTTCTCAGATGTGTTCCTTAGAAACTCCCACGTACTTTTAAGTCCTTTGACGGCAGGTAACACAAGCTTATTGACCATCGATTCTATTGTTCACATTATCAATTCATAACAACTGATCGTTTCTGTATATAATCAATAGGTATTGGGAATAAACAAACCAGGAAGTGGGGGTGTTCCCATGATCAGAAATGGCTGGCAAAGATTAATATTAACCCAATATTAGTTTAACAATTAGTCATGACTCTTAGCACTGTAGGTGTGTAAATTTTATTGGGGAATTGACCAGGAGTGAGGGAGTGAATCATACAGATAGTTATTTGCTCTATTGTATGGTCTAACTTGTAATCAATATTGTGGAATTGCTGGCATGCCTCAGTGTATCATTTGGCATAGTAATTATGTAATTGTTATCTGTTATGATAACAAAAGAAATACGGCAGAACTTATTTGATATTTTTTGAGTAATTTAACATTTGAATATTATTGGCCTTTGGCTTATAATATAATATAATATAATATAATATAATATAATATAATATAATATAATATAATATAATATAATATAATAGCCCATTAGTCAGAAAATTAATTCAGTATATTATAGAATAATATATATCTCAGTGAATTTGAAGTTAAACCACAGTGGTTATTTAATTTTAACCCAATTTCTCACAAAGTAAAATAGGTTTTGATTATTTATTGAATTTCAAAACAACGTTTGCCTCGCTTGTCTGTTGCCTTAACCCACAATGGCTGTTTGTTTCGTGAATTATTTAGTGTCAGACTTCACAGGCAAACAGCATGTTGACACCGTTAGATCCAGGATTTTACTACAGGATGTCACAGGAGTAATAAAATTTGTCATCCCTTTGTTCAGCATGGAAACAATATTATTTCATGAAGCTAAAAGAAATGGAGAGGATGTGCATATGCCTCTGTGACCCCCCCCCCCCCCCCCCCGCCTTCTCCTCTGGCCTTGACTTAACCTCTTATGTACATAGTATATCCTGTTAACTGTCATTGCATATATGTGTGTGTGTGTGTGCGTGTTTATAGTTATGCACTGTAAGCCAACAGAGTGCACCATTCATTATTAAAAACAAATAATAAATTTGAAATTTTTCATGGACTGGTACTAATACTTGATTTTCATTAAATTTAACTGTCGGATCCCTGGCTAAATTGTAAATAATCAAGGACAATATGTTTTATTGTTCTTTTCATTGTGTGCACATTTAACAGACAAAGGGGAGTTGGTTTCTTTAACGGACAAATGCGACCAATGGCAGTCTGCCAGTGACATTATTCCTAAGACTGCAATTTGTACTCCTTGTGAATTGAGATGAATATTGGTATCTTGGCATATTTTATCTGGTCAACTGAGGACAAAAAAACGCAGGGGTTGTTTTTCTTAGGGATAAGTTCCCAAATAATCAACTTATTTGTACTAAAATAAGTTCCACATGTGTGCTGTATGCTTGTATTTAGGCGAGAGTTTTTTAAACCAAGCTTAGATCATCAGGACCTGGAATCTTGGTGTTCGTACAAAAGTAGGCGAATTCCAATGCATTTTGAACCTATGCGGCAAATAAATTGTATTTGTATTAATTGCACACATTTTATTCTTGGTGCATGCATGGAAGAGAAAGACTATATGTAATTTGGGCAATATCCACCTTAATTCACTCTAATATTAAATCTCACTTTTCGCTGTGACAGGTTTCAAATTAATTCTTAATCAAGCACATTTTTAAATATATGTCATGGTGAAAAAAGGAGGATATTGTTTATTTGTGATCTCTAACCACACTGTTTCTTGTGGGGAAGCAAATGGCAAAGACTGGAAGAACAGAATGTCGAAAGAAAAGTACATGAACAACTTTTGGAATATTATCTAGAAATGTTGGGGGGATAAATATCATGCTCTCACATGGTACTCCTGTTGAAAATAAATTCACATTAAAGAAAACTTTTTTTAGGTTAAGTGTCATCACCAGCTGACCAAATCATTTTAAATGGTTTTCAAACTAACACAGATTGTTTTCCGTTTTATGAGAAAGATCAGATTGTTGAGTTTATGTTTCTAGCCATTCAAAGTAGGTATATCAACAACTCTTTTAGCAGCCAATATTTGAATATTGCTGAAGCAGTATAATGATGCTTTGTCACACAAAGACAGTTATTATATATATACTTTGCCCTGGTCTCATGCACTGTATAGCATGCTATTTCGACTAATTTATTGTCAAAAAGGAATCAGTAAGTCTGATTTCAGGAAAAGCTAACATTGCAGTTAATGTTGAATATAAACAATAGATTAGTTGTCTCTGTGTAGGTACAGTATCTTGTTAAATTGTTCACCTAAGATGAAGCTTTCACAAAAAAAAAAAAAAAAAAAAAAAAAAAAAAAAAAAAAAAAAAATCTAGATCAGTTTAATTTTAGTCTGATTATTATGAACCCATCTAAAGATTCTATAGTGTATATATTTTCTTGATTATTCTCATTTCATTGCATGGGTTTCAATTTAACATCTATAGATTACATCAACAGTCTGCCTTCTTAGTAAATAAGGTCATAGATTGCATCACAGCGTAATATAGGAATTACATGAAAAATGGATTAGTGAAAAAGATGCTGTATTCTTTTGAATTTTGTCTTCCTCAGCTAATAGATATATTTATATATCCTATCCTTATGCACACAAGCTGCAGGTCATGCAAATAGAGAAAGTAAAAGAAAAAACTGCACTTTTTATGTCATACTTTTACTAATTGCCCTACTTGTTGAATGATCTTACTCCCACCACAATATACTTAGTAAACACATTTAAATGAATAATTGTATTTATGATCAAAGTTTTCCCTTTTCACACTCCCTCTCCCCACCTTCCACCCCTCACTGACACACTAATGTCACTTAAAGACTCCATCAGCAAAAAAAAAAAAAAAGGGGGACAGAAAAACAAGGAAGGGAACTTTTAATGACAGTAGGCTGTAAACAAGAATTGAATCGTGTGTAAATGTCAGACAGGTAACAGTGAGATGCATATCATGTATTGGGCACTGGCTCTGTCTAGATGATATGAATCATGGAGGTGAATACAAAGGGTGTCAGCAGTGGGATCATTGTCATATTTTGGCTGTAGGGGTAGTTCTATGAAGATCAAAGGATGCACATTTTTGTTTTTTCAAGTTTAGGGTATTTTTAATGCACCCCCTACCCCCCTCACACAAACACACATACATATTTTTAAAAAAGAATTCATCATCTGAATTTGTTCCAGAAATGTATTGAAGCCTTTCTATTTCCCCAGCTCATTGCTTGTAGGCATATTTATTTATAAAAAAAAAGAACTTTGGTGAAGGCAGAGGGTGTTCAGTGGGAAGGGTTGGGAATCTTTTAATATTTTAAAATAACTGTCTGGCACCTCTGAAGACCTGCATTGTCTGCATTTATCTAAGCGCTTGCCAGGTCTTTGAAAGTGCCTGGATATATAACTTAAACTCCCTCTCTCTCTTTCTCTCTCTCTCTCTCTCTCTCTCTCTCTCTCTCTACTTCTGTCTCTCAGGCCTGGAGATACAGCATTTAAAAAGTAATGATATTGTTTCTGTAATTTACCAAGCTACAGTATTATCATGCTTTACATCAGCCATTTTAACTAAGAATTTATACCCCATAGTTACAGACTGTCCAAATTGAAATGGTTTCGTTATTTGAAAGAGACAAGATCAATACATATTACTGTCACCTTCCATTTTTGTCATATGTTTTACTGTCTGATAATGAATATTAAGTAATTTCAATAGTGTACTTAAGGAGACACACCTTTATTTGTAACAGCTGAAAAGTTAGGAATTTTGCATAATTAAGCTCTAAGTTTCTGTCGTAATAATGGTACCTTTTAACCCAAGAAGTCTGGATTTTTTTACTGGTTAGAAAATGATATTTGTGTGTAGATTATGACTGACAAATCATCACTAGTTCTTAGATTTTGAGTTATTTAAACCCTATGACCAAGCCGATTTTTGAAATAGAAAAAAGAAGAAAATTATAAGAAAATCTGTTTAACACTGGTCCCCTGCTCGCGGTTTGTCAGATGTGTTTGTATGTCAAGCTGAGATTCGAGCCATCCAACCCCCCCCCCCCCCCCCAGGGCATGAACAGAGTACCTTTGCAAAAAAAATGAGATAAAACCTGTATAAACAATCTTTGTTAATTTTGGGAGATAAAGATCCTTGTCTGCAGTGTAGACAGAAGGCCTCAAAGGTGACAGTCTGAGTCGGACATATTTGAATATCCTTGACGTAGTTATGACAACAGGTCAGAAGTGAGAAATGTTTTAGTACCTGTCTCCTTGCCAAATTCAAAGTCTATCTTTAAAAAAATATGACAATCATCATAATGAAGAAGATTCCATAATCAGGGCAGAAGAATATTTCTTTCCAATTTGGAAAATGAAGTTGACATTGCATTTGTTCACCATATATATATATATATATATATATATATATATATATATATATATATATATATATATATGTATATATTGGATCGAAATATTTTATATTAAGTTACAGAAATTTCATGTTGAATATTAAGTGAATTTTTAAAAGGAGATATACTATCATTTCAATAATCTTTTAAAATTGCCAAGTCACCCCAAAAATGTATTGTACCCTTATCTTCTTTACTCAAGAACTGTATTGTTTCAAATATATATATATATATATATATATATATATATATATATATATATATATATACAGATGTTGACTTTAAAAAGTTGACAAAATTGTCTTTTATGGTTTGAAAGAATGATAATGGCACTCCTGTAACCCATGAATTAAGCATTTGTCATGTTAATGCTGAAACACATGAAAAATACCTATTGCCTCTTGAGGATTGTCTTAAATCTAGGCAGTTTTACTTTAATTTGAACCATTTTGTCTGATTTAATCAGAGAAAAAATGTGTCCTACTTGTAAACTGAAAACATTTAGTGTCCCCGATGATTCTTCTCCTTAAAGTTAATCTTGTCACAGTTTTTAACTGTCCACTTTTTAAGGAATAAAAAATTAAACCCTGTTTGTAGCCTGAAAAAAGATCCCCTCAAGAAATCCTGCCATATGTCTGTCATATTTAATTAACATTATAACTTGTTCTTTGAGTGTGAAAAATAAAGCTTTATTATTATTATTTCTTTCATTAATTTATGTTAATTCCATAAAAAATACCCTAGGTTCTAGATTCCGGTATTGCCAGCTCGATCCTGATTTCATATGTAACCCATATCAGCAATACTTAGTAAAAGTGACTCCAAGGTATATTTAATATTTATCAAGCTAACTTTTACGTTGCTCTGACACTCAGGGTAATAAAAAAGGGCTTAAACAAAAATATGCTGGAGTCACCCCACCTATTAATTGCATGCAGAATGATGAGGTGTGTTGGGTTGGATCTGTAACTAAAGGTTCAGGAATCAGTTCCTTGTCTACCAGATTGAAACCAGATATGGATTATAACATTATAATGCAAACTAGGGTGAGGGAAAAATGAAGCTGTCTGCTTTGGTTTCGTGGAGGGGAAATTACTTTGTTTAAGTGACAGTTACGTATTTTTTCTGAACCTGCTTCACATCAGCCTCCCCTTTATTAATAAGGTTGTGGCTAAGTCTCTTTGGCATGTTGCATCCTTATTAGAAATGAAATTTCCCCTTCTTGCACCGCTGATTTCCATCTTTGATCGGCAGCACGTTGCTACTAGTGCGTGATTTACTGTTGTCTTTATGCTAGCACAGCAAAGAAAGAAGGCACAAAATATTGAATTTAATAAATTAGAAGAAATATTTTTTCATATGCATCATTTTTGATTAACGGAAAAGTTGTGGTTTAAAGCACCATCAAGTGCAATATATTTTGAATGTTGACCAGAGACTACAGAACAACAAGATGTATATATAATCTAATTTTTTTTTAAGGGGGGTAGATATATCTTTTGTTTTTCATGGCAAAACACGGATATTAAGCAAAGGACAAAGGAATTACATGAAGCTGTGCAGGGCAGATAAAGGGCTTGTTTGCATGTTGGTTTGTCACTGTGGTTAACGCACAGTCCTGATGATTAGCTCTTTCTGCCTCCTCACAACCTGCTTTTTTTGTTATTTTTTTAATCCCAAACATAGATTGACGCATATCCTCCTTTTTGGACCTTTTAACCCACAGCATCTCCGACACGTTTGTGGTTTTGAGGGGAAATACAATGCATTCAGTAGATAATAAGATGAAGTGAACTTCATGTTGTTCAATTCAATTTATAAGTATCATACATGATTTTTCACCTGTACTTTGGTGCAAAATTTATGAATTTCAGTGCAGTGGAAATGTTAATACTTATCTGTACGAAACATGATATATCCTTGGTTTATTTGTGGGTTATGGCTGACCTAAGAACATGCAAGCATGTACATATATTCTATGTATTTCAAATGCAAGCCTCGATGAGGCCAAATATGTAGATAGGTGTGTAAAAAGGTGCCCCTTTAAAATAATTTTTAGTGACGATTATTCTTTTTTTTTTCTAGGCATTTGTTGGTCCTGGTTCCAACCTATCTCTGCAATTCATGTCCAATGCCTGGAGTGACAATCCAGATGACCGAGTGCCAACCAGAGAATTTGTGGATTTTGACAGAGAACCGGGAAAGGTACGTGTCATTGGAAATCTCGAAATGCTTTCTCTTTATTACTATCACATGGCTAATTTGAATGCATTAGAATGCTCTTGGGTTCAGACAGGTGGGATATACACATTTGAAATGCAGATATTAAGGGACCAAACTGATTAAGATAGATGTATGGTCTTTTGATTGTGTGACACCTCTTCTTTCTGGATTACTTCATGGTCAAGAAAGGATTTGCTTATGAAATATTGAAATAGATATGTGTATGACCTTTTTATTGTGTGACTTGTCCCTTTGTTTGAAAGCTAGGTTTCAGTTGAAATAATGAGATGTTATATAAGCTTGCCTTTTTGAATAAAGGTGATTGCCTATAATTTGAAGATTATGTGCTTGTTGTAAATGTTTAGCAGTCAGAGTTTTGACAATTGAAAGATACTAAAAAAAGAATATGGAAGAAAAGGTATAAATTGGAAAAGTAAAAGAATAGACCAAGTAATTATTATCATCATTTAGACATATGCCCCTAGAAAAGAAGACAGATCCTTTGACAAAGGGCTTGTATCCATATAAAAAAGAACAACCGAACAGCCGATGATGTCCCCAGGCTCTTTGTGTACAAATGTTTGGATTTGCGGTTACATCAAAAGAAGGGCAATAATAGCACCAATATGATTATAACTAACTCAAGTTATTTTCCTACATCAGTTATCAGTTGGAGAGTTTTAGGTCATGTCTGGTCATTCAGGTGTAATTTACACAGTCAGGTCATAACCCCAGGCCTGCATCTGAAGTCATGTTTTCAGCTTCTCCCATAAGTTGTCTTTGTAAAAGAGATTTGATAAATTTAAACAACCACACAAGTTTTCTGCTTGTTATGTGTATTAACTTTAACTAGTTCCTAATTATAAATATGTTTTGGGGAAAGTTATTTTTGCTAGTTGTGCATATTATGTGTGACCAGTGTCTAGAAATGTATTGTGTTTGGCTGATGGATGGATGCTTTAGGAAAATGCGACAAAAGAAAATTAAAGAATAAAATATAGCCGGTATGAGGCCATGGTTAAAAAAAAAATATTTGCCATTGATGCTAGCACCCTTATGTTAGTTAAGTGATTATTAAATTATGAATAATATGAAATCTTAAAAAGGAGAAACCACATTTTGTAACGAGACCCTTTGATCAGTGGTATATGAGCATGAAATATTGACACTGGCACCATCATAATAGTAGGGAAAATTGTGCAAAAAAAAAAGAAAGAAGAAAAGGTCATTATTTATTTTCTCCTATTCCATCCACCAACTTCAATGTTTGCCCCTGTATTAATTATGTCCGCAGCTTTGAGCAAAAAAGGCGATTTTAATAACAGGTGGACAAACTGAAATCAGAAAAATCGGGGATACATTGGCAAACATTTCACCAAGAATTAAGGATCTTATCCTTTCAAGTCTGCACCTATTCCCAGAGCAGAGCTGCTGTTATACTTGATGTAAAAAATCAATTTCAGTCAGTTGCACTTGCAAATCCTGTGAGGATTTCAAGAACCCTCCCCTCTATTATTGTCCTCCTCTTTTCGGGGGTTGTAATTGTTCCTTTAAACTAAGTGCACATTGTAGTATTCATGTGCATAATTTAGAATGATGTTTGATGTTTTGGATTTTTTTTCATTCAAAGCATGGGAATTACATTACCTGTCTTCAGAAAAAGTCAAATAAGAATAGAAAAAAAAAGGAAAAAAAATAATTCTCCACTGCTATAGCTAAAGATCAGACTGAAAGGGTCAGCAATTGGACTCTTTAATTCGTGCAAAATGCAATTGAACAGCGCATCAAAACATGGCACCAGAAATTTTATTCTAAATTTTCTCAATTTACGTCATTTGGCAGTTAATTTGTTTTTATTCACACATGTTTCTACACATGTGAAAATGTGAATATAAATGATTTGACCATCAAAGTTCACTTCCTAAATTCCCTGAAAAGTACTCATTATAACTGTGACTGGTGCTGCTATTATTATGTTTCTATATTTATGTTTTATGCTGTAATACAAGTGTCAGAAACGTAAACGCCATTCCTGCAGACGCAGATATGACATTTTCTGAGAAATCTGACATCAGTTTGACGCCTTCTGTTTGTGTGTTTTCTATGCAATTCCTAGGAAGTCACTGCAAATAAGGCAGAGAATCATGTTACAGCATAGTCAGAAAATTGAGATACTTTGCAGAAGACAATTGATTGAATGAGATCAAAGTTAGAGGAAGAAACTGGCCTCAGAACAATGATCAATTTCCTTTGAAACTATTTAAATCTTATGAATGTGTACAATTTAAATGACCGACCTTAAATAGGTCATGCATGTCCCCCATCTTAAAAGATACAACAGGAGCATATTAAGTGTGGTTATTTTTTGTGAAGTTTTTGAAAAATGTTAAATTTGTTCTTACTTAAAGAAGTAACTAACCACTAACTCAGACAAACAAGAATAAAGCATGTAATTAATCTAACCTATTAAGCAACAAAAATTTGATCATTACAAATTGATATTTATTGATAAGAAGACAAATAATATATTAGAAAAGAAAGAAAGAAATGGAACAAATTCTATGGGGATTTATTTGTGATAAACCTCAAACTTTTTATCTCACTATTTTTTTATCATACTTATTTATTTTGGAGTGAATGTTGTCATTTAAAATTTCTTTAATCCATTTTAGAGGGACCAAATTAATACTGAAGGAAAATCACAGCAGATTTCATACAGGAGAAAATGTAATGATATTAAAGAAGGAGCAATTTATATTGACCAAATGATTATTTAAATCTGTTAATAATGACTTTCCTAGGACCGACAGAAATATCTGTGATTTATGAAGTATGTTATAATGAGCATAGTATGGATAGTCATAGAGGAACATGATATATGCATAAGCGTATCCTTTACTATGACAGTCATTTATAATGCTACTTCAGAACCCTGGATTTTGTGGTTTTGGCTGCAAAGATAAATCTAGGGGGAGGGTGGGGGAATGCTTTAGAATTGATAAGTAAGTTGGGATGCAGTTTCTTTCATTATCAGAACTACTCTGTTAATACGAAAACATTGCATTGAGTCTGTGGATATCAGTGAGGCAGTGGCGCAGTCACCAGGTATTTTTCTTTGTGTCCTTGGCGGACTAGACTGTGTACAGAATTGGAAGTGTTCGTGGTGACAGAGAGTTCCTGGTGACATGATGGAACAGTCAGATTATGCGCATGCAGGAACTTCATCCTGCCTGGATCCTGCTAAGGACATCTGAACTACAACCACAAGTTAGTTCAGCTTCAAATGCCTGTCAGTCTCCAATGTGGCTTTCTTCACCAAGGTGCTTGTATTTGTAACAGCCGCAGGTAGCAGAAGATTATATTAAAACCCACCCGGATTTTCAAAGCATACTGGAAACATGCCTCTGTCATCATAGCTTTGCTGAAAATGATACTGAAACTCAGGGTGATTGTTGTCAGCTTCAAGATGCACTTGAAATTCATTTTTTTTTGCCACAAAAGTTGACCAAATATATTGATGCCACCAAATAGTTTCATATAGTGCAACTGAAAGAAATACTTAAGGATGCCATTTCATGTTACCCGAAAAATGACATTTGAACAGATTTTTTCTGCTTGCTTTCTGTGCTGTATAACTGGGACACATAAGTAGACCACATAAATAGGTCAAATTTACGACCAAAAATCTGAAAAAAGGTGCAGATCAAATGTATCTTTAAGCTTGATTTTCTCATAGCAAGCCTCATACGGCAAGGTGACGGCACCAGCAATGTTGGGGACTAGCTATTACAACTAAGAAAAACTCATGTATACTGTAAATTAATATACATTTCATAATTTTAAGTTTGCTAGCTTTCAGAAATGCTCTAACTCAATTGTTGTGAAAATGATTTTCTGCGTGTAACCACCTGTTTGATGGATCAGTTGGGAAAAGAAAAAAAAACTTAAATTTATGAACTGTAAAGATTAATCTAATGACAATCATTATAGCAGATGAGGCAAATGACCAAAATCTTTAACCACACAATGGACATTTGGTGACAGGGAGGTGCACGTTTTGGGGCCTTAATCCCATGGCAGTCAATCTGTGGGTGAATGGTGCTTATAGTTGCGGATGCAAATTCTTTTCAAGGCGGGAAGTCAATAGAACTATTTGACCACACTTGTTAGGCCTGATTTCAATGTAGGTAGTTGCAGGCATTTACCAGGTGTTTGTGGGTTTGAGCTTTCTGAGGACCCTTTAACCACAGTCCATATGGTTAATCAGCTTTTGACAGCACTTAAAGATCAGCTTTGGTGGTGTCTTAAGCTTATTTTAAGCATGATCTCTCTCTTTTTTTCTCTGTGTGTGTGTGAGAGAGAGAGAGAGAGAGAGAGAGAGAGTCCTCTTCATGATATAAACCTCGCTTACTTCATCAAATGACGAGGTTGCAAAGAAACCCCACTGCATGTATGTGTATCAATATAGCACATAGAAATACTAGTGCTTGAATATATTTGATAGCCGGTTTATGATGGTCAAATGATTTAACAAAGAGAAAATTGTTGTTAAAAGTGGAACCGTCATTTCTGTGACATAAGACGTCACTCACTGCTCAACACTAGGATGAAATTGCCTCGTAATTGCTGATAACTGGACTGATGTCAAATGAACAGGTATGACGCCCCGAGGTCCTTATCAGTCATCACATGTGACAACAGTTTGACGTGTGAGAGAAATGCGGAGGCTATTGGATTGATGTTTTGCTTCAGGAATGATCACCTTTCACGTCATTCACATACAGCCTGGACCATTTAAAGGTTACACATTATCGTTCATCAAAATATGCATGTTTTAGATGGGTTATTGTTTTCATTTTGTAAAGCAAAAATAAGAATTGAGGTAATTTAAGTGAGGCCCATTAGCCTGAGCGTGGCTTTTAATTTTGCAGTACATCTATATTACAAAGCAGTTCGTAGGATTAAAGTAAGGTGGTGTGAAT